GCTGGAGTAGCTGCTGCCAGTGCTCCTGCCAGCTCCCTATGGGGATTGCCTGTGAAATAAATTATTTGAGCAGAAAGTCAATGTTTGAGGTACTTGCCATCTTCTACTAACAATGTACCAAAGTGCAACTGAAGGCTTCAGCTTACTGTGTATTTTAGGTTTTGTTTCAGGGAGTTGGAAGTCGTCTTGTTAGTATTCCCACGTCTTTACTCTTACCAGCTCTTAAGCAAGCGTAGTCATACCTGCTGTCACAGTGACGTGGTAATATTGTGCCATTTCTGGCACTGACACAAGTGAGGAGAGCGGTGGCTGCCCTGGGAAGGGATGGTGCCTCGTCACTGGTGAGCACTATTGAGTGACCCAGCTCTCTTGGGCCTGCTAGCACAAAACAATTTGGGAGCTTGTGGGTGGTGAGTGAAGGATTAAACTACTTGACCTGGTAGGAATAAAAATCTTCAGTGTAATCAGTCCGAAAGGCTTCTTACTAGTTTGAAAACTGGAGGGGGCAGGAGACCATGCAAAACCCGAGGGCTTTGTCATGTGTGCTCTGCTCTGCGTGTGTCCTCCTTGTGTCCTCCTTGTGTCTTGGCTTGCGTCTGGTTTCAGTTAAATACAATTCAAACGTGCTGTACAGTTTAAAGCAGTTCATGAGTGTGTTTATGAGCTGAGCTGCTAAAAAGCAAAGTACTACCGTGTCAGAGAACTGACTGAATTTTTCTTTCTTTTTTTTTGGTTCAAATACCAGCTCCAGCACAGGGCGTAGGGTGTGAAAGCTACCATCCTGTGCCTGGTGCCTCTTGTTTGTTTTGGCAGGGACTCATGATGACTAGACCATAGTCCAGGACAGTGTCATCACAGAGATTTTTTTTCTTCTCTTTGACAGGCCTTCTGAAAGTCTTGCATTGAATAGTGTTCCTACTTTGTATGCTGCATGTTGAGGTTAAAATAAAGGAGCATGAAGAAATTAAATTTCTTTTGTTATTACTAGCTTCTCATGGGTTTGGGTGCTGCTGCTCATTTAAAACTCCATGACCTTTATGTTTTTGGACAGCTCCAGTGCTAAGTATGTGGTACAGCGTCCAATCTGCAGAAAGGAACAACAGGAGAAAAGTGTGCATAGTCAGGGTAATTTGTCAATGCGGTCTTAGAATGAGGTACGCCTCTAGAAAGGTGACTGATGCTTGCACACAGCAACAGAGCGATCCCAGTGAAACATTAATTCAGTAACTGAGCTTTTCCAGAATCACAGGCTGCGTCTGAAAAGATTTTTCCAGCCTTTGTTCTTTCTTGACTGCTGTTCTTTCATCCACGCTGCCATAAAAGTGGGCAATGCCTTCATTTCATCCTCACAGTGGACTTTTCAGCTGCTCTGGGAACATGACGTAGAGACCATGAAGCTGGATTGGGTCGGGCAGAATTGATTAGCTGCAGCTACATACTGTACTGAAGTGCTTGCAGCTGCTTTGGCTGTGAGCTGGCCTTGGAGACAGAAGAACCCTGCTTCTGCGCTCCTGTGCATCTGCAGCAATATCTCACCCTCCGAACTGCAATACTGTGACTCTGCCTGGACAAGTGGAAGCAGTGCACGGGGATAAGTTGTCTGCCTGGCTCAGCTAACAGCCTTGCCCAAGAAACCAGAGGCCAGAGAATGTGCTGTAAAGACGACAGTAGCTGGAGCTGTCCCGGTCCCATTGAACCCTGATGGACAAATCCTGGTCCTATACCCTTATGTGTGGTCGTATACCCTTATGTTTTTTCCTTTGTCTCTCTCCCCTCCCCTCCCCCCCAAATCTGGAATGGCTGAGGATTTTTCTTTGTTTTCTCCTGTTCCTGATCCCTCTCCATGCCATGATGGTGGATAATAAAGAGCTCACTATAAATGCCATCTTATAGCCATCTTCATTTAGCAGCCCTCACCCAGCCCTCATATAGAAGTGATGGACCCTGACCACACAGAAGCTGGTCATCTTCATAATGGAAAAGTGCTTAGGAGGGTCAAAACAAAAGTGGTTCAGGAAAGAGCAGTATGGCAAAAATCTGTGCTCAGATGCCTCTTAACGTGAAACTTTAATGGTATCAAGAGTAGAGAGTAGATATCTCTTTATTTAAAGAGCAGGGCATAGGAAACAAAGGTGGTCTTTATCGTGTAGCTGTCTCAGGTTTTATAGTCTTTTACGGATCCTAGTTCAGTACTGCATGGTAGCCCTGTATCTAATTCTCTGTTGCCGTTGAGCCATGCAGGTGGCTGACAGCAATTGTGTGGTTTGCACAGCCCAGCTTGTCACCTGCAGACACTTGTCACAACAGCCCCGCAGGGTTCACCGGATCTTTTAACTGCAAGTGCTGCATTTTACCTGCTGAGGATTTATTTGCTGAACTTCAAGACATGCTCACAAATCAGAAATGAGATACATATTTATATTGCCACGTCTGTGTATTTAGCATGTTATATGTAGACCGCAGTCATCAGGACCACTGCATCTGAGATGAAATGTATCCTACCAAAGAGTGCTTGGTCTTGGGTTCTGAAAGAGTTGGTGTTCAATGTTTTGCATGAACAAAAAGGCCTCTGTCAGCCTATCCCACCAGTGGGGTTTTCAGCCTCCACCGAGCTGAACAACCCCACCTGTCAACTTTGCCGTTTCGTTTTGTAATGGGAACAGGAAATGTTTACCAGCATTAGTGATACACAGACACAGTGTTTTGGTTTAACTATTATATCCATTATATCCATCTACTTATTGCTGGAGAGGAGCTAATCATGTTGAATTTAATATTAAACTCTAACAAGTTACTTAATAGCTGTCACTTCTGACAATTGCAACCTACCTGCATTGCTTCCACTACCAGCAATGCTTCCAGACATCTTGCTGCTGATTAGCAGTTATTACTCTGAAATCTCTTTAATTTAATCTGTAATCCTTGTTAGCCCCAACAAAAAGAAATACATTCAAAACCATCAGTCTTCTCAAGCTACAGTATAAAGCATTGCTTGCTTAGCTTCCCCTCCCTATTAAAAGTCAAAGTGACTTGGATTTGACCAGGCTGAGGAACAGAATTGGTTGCTATGCATCTCCTCAGTGGCTGGTCTGGTAATTGTAGTAACTTACCTCTACCACTTGCATGACTGAAAATTTGAGGGTATTTGATTTTTTTTTTTTTTAAAGGGATTTCTGTTTTTCAGATGAGTGTCCCTAAGCAGGAAATTAAGCTGCATACAAGGTATTTCTGTAACAGGCTTTCTAACCGGGTCATTGTATCTAGTTATTTTTTAGGGCGGATATCCAATACCTGGGACTTTTTCTAAACTTTTGGTGCTTGTTCAGGTATCAGAGAACACTTTCTGGCATGTTAACATTTCTAATGTGAAAACTATAATTTCAGAATCATCAAAAACAAGAAAATCTGCCTTTGCAAGAGATTTTTTTTTCAAAACATTTGACTGACTTTAAAAATATATGGGTGTTTCCTAGAGCTTTTCTGTCACTTACAAAATCTCTCCTGCCTGAGTGCTCCTAGCAGTGATTTTTCTCCCCCTCGCCTTTGTAAGCAGAACAACTGAGGGTATCCCTTTTCATCATCTTCCACAACACTTTATCTTTATTGTCTCTAACCTCCGTCAAGCTTGGCCGAGCTTGGCCAACAGGCTCAAAAGTTTTTGGCATAGTTGCAGAGCATGAACACACCGGCCTGCTTCCTTAAACAATGCTGCCTCTGTCTCAACTACTGTAAACTTCTCAGGCTTCATTTATATAAAAAAAACTGCATCCTGCCCTCAGTACTAGCTAGTACTGCTGCTTGCAAGGTCACATGAAGTTATGTATATTGTCTCTAATGTTTACAGTATCTACAGCTGCATGCATGCAAATCATCGTAACCTGATTTTAACGTGGTGGTGCGCACACCATAGCGTGATCGTCAGATGACATTTACTTTTCTATTCATAAAATGTGCTTATCAAACTTCTAGGAACACACTGTGTAACTATAGGCTCCAGATCAAGTGACTTGTCCTACAGTCTTGTCTATGTAAACTATATTAATTGAGGGATGTAGAGCATGAGTAAAAGGAGATCTGTAGGTAGGTAGAGGCCATGGAAATGTGGGAAAACTCATGTGGGAGTAAAAAGTGGAAGTGGGAAGTGTGGGTTTGTAAAGAAGAGGCCTGAAGCAATGAAATGCATCTAGAAGACAAGCTGTGCTACTGCATATTTCCTTTTCCTTAAAAGCACAAGTGAATAGTCAGCAAAACCAAAGGTCAGTAAGTTGGGTCCTGTACTGATGTGAGCGGTAAGTCAGACTTAGTAAGCGTAACCCCTATTTCTCTGATGCCGTAGTTCAGGATTTGTGAAAATGCCTTGCAGCTGCTGCATGATTATCTGTCTGACTTTCATGCCTGTTCCTTTTGTGTGACGTGCAAACTGGCTTATGAATGGGACCATAGAATAAATTTCTGTATCTTCTAAGTTCCTGATAACATTACTGGCTTTCTTGTGACGTTGACACATGCAAAGACCTGTGCGTGATGTAGGCAGTGATGAACACTCAAATATTCATTAATTTTTTTTTCAGCACTAGGATTGCTATGTAACCACACAGAAACACTTGGAGTGCCTGTTGCTCAGCCCTCTTCCCTCAGTAGTATGTCTGCAATGAAAGTGTGAAGAGGGTTACAAATAGAGCAGCATCTATATGCAATGTTGCTGTATCCCTTCTGTAGAAAATAACATTTGGATTGGGCAAAATAAAAAAAGAGAGCAAAAACCTTGACAGAGGGCACTTCTCACAGCTTAAATCTAGTGGTCATTGGCATACTAATACTCATCTTCATGAAGGCACACAGTGCCACGTGGCAGCCATCGCGATCAGCCTATAGGTATCGTGATGGTACATGACACCAGAAGTGAGTCTGGGGCCTGTTCATCAGTAAAACCTTCGCTGTGGTGGTAACCCTGCTCTGAAACTGCCATTTAAAAAATTAGAGCCTCAAATATAGGATGATAAAGCTTGAGTGCGCCAGTGGTGATTGTTTTTACCTAAATGAAAATTAATGAGATTTTTTGTGTTTTTTCTCTTTAGCCAAGTATCCAGAGATCAAGGCTCTAATGGGACCAGATCCACATTTAAAGTGGATTGTATCTGGAATGGTTTTTGTGCAGTTTCTAGCATGCTACCTGGTGAAAGACTTATCCTGGAAATGGGTTTTCTTCTGGGCTTATGCTTTTGGGGGTTGCATCAACCATTCACTGACCTTAGCCATCCATGATATTTCACACAACGTTGCCTTTGGGAACAAGCAGGCCAAGTGGAACCGATGGTTTGCAGTCTTTGCCAACTTGCCCATTGGAATACCTTACTCTGCCTCCTTCAAGAAATACCACATCGACCATCACCGATATCTTGGTGGGGACACCCTCGACGTCGACATTCCCACAGACTTTGAAGGCTGGTTCTTCTGTACACCGCTTCGGAAGCTGCTTTGGCTCTTCCTCCAACCTCTGTTCTACAGTCTGAGACCACTGTATGTGAACCCCAAAGCAATTACCCAGATGGAAATTTCTAACGCTCTTGTGCAGTTTTCTGTAGACCTTATAATCCACTACCTTTGGGGGCTCAAACCTATTATTTACTTAATAGCAGGTACAATTCTTTGCATGGGTTTACATCCCATTTCTGGGCACTTCATAGCAGAACACTACATGTTCTTAAAAGGGTATGAAACGTACTCTTATTATGGACCTCTGAACTGGCTCACCTTTAATGTAGGCTACCACATGGAGCACCATGACTTCCCCAGCATTCCCGGATGCAAACTGCCTATGGTAAGCACAGAATGAGCAAAAGTGAATTGGGTTTTTATAAAAACTGCTGAACTGTTTCGGGGAAATCACACCAAATCATAGCAATAGATCCATTCTTAAATAAAGAGGAACGTGTTTTGGATTTGTTTTAATACTTTCTTTTTAACCAGAACATTGAGAGAAATGGCTGCCAAACTGCTATAGTACCTCGTTTATTTGAAGGAAATGGGAACTTCATTGTCTTGGAGAGCTTGAGTAATGCCTCTTTCATAAGATTGTTGTTGGAGGTAACAGTGGTCTAAATTTCTCCATTTCCCCCCCCTAGCCCCCAGATTTGGGCTCTTTGACATTTTAAAGGCCCATCTGAAGTAAGACAGGAGGCAATCATTGCTTGAAATTTATCTAATGATCAATATATTAGCTATATCCCGATGGATAAGCATCAAGCAATGGTCTTTCTATTTTTTGAGATGACCTGAGCATTGGGGGCATGTTCCAGCCTGATACAAATAACACCTTGCTGTACATGACCTGTTTTAGCTCTACTTCCCCACCCACAGAAACTGATGGTGCCTGGTCTGCCATAGAGAAAGTGCTGTGGCTTTCCTCCTTTGGAAGTCAAGCCACTTTGTGCTTGCCTCTTATCAGTTATGGGAATCAAACTTGCAAAGCCCAGGTGCCTAGGGATGGTTTTGTATCTACCTCCAGGTATCTAGCTGCTCTTTGGGGGTAGTTCTTCAGCAGCTCACAGTGTTAGAGGTATGTGACTTTGAAGTATTACTCCTGCACAGCAATCCTCTGGCAGAGTAAGCAGGAAATATCTGCTGTCTCTGGTCTGATGCAGAATTGTGAGCTACTACGGCAGCATCCTCATGAGGAGGAAGTAGAGCTGAGGAGGCTGATGTTCAGGAGCTGCGACCTCTCTACTACTGTATAACACGGAATAACTCTTATGACAGTATAGCCAGGCAAATTAAGTTTGGGAACCTTGCTTTAGTGGGTTAACGTTCTTCATCGCAGAAACACTGTCTGAGAGGAGATTCAATGCAAGAAGAGATCTCCTTGTGATTTAGAAGAGCACCAGGAGCCTCTATATAGCCTCCAATTCATTAACACACCCCGCCTTACTGCTGGAGGCCTGTCCTGCCGAACTTGGCTATTCCTGGGGGGGACAGAAAGTCCCCTTAAAGCAGCCAGCATTTGACATGTGAAGTTCTTGTGTCAGGCACTCCCATTGCTCGTCGAGCTGATCACTCAGCTGGGAAGTGTATGAACATAGTTTTGGTTTCAAATGTTCAAACTTGTTGGAGAGGATAAGTTAGATTACTAAAATGTAAATACAGGAAGAGAAGGAGGTTAGCACTGTATCTTACACAAACGAAATGAGTGACTAATTGAACTTGCTGGGACTGTTGCTCCAGACCTGAATGAGACCTGAAAAGCTCTTCCTCACCCACATCACAAGTAGTTTAGCCTAATTCCTCGAGGCAAGGCAGCAGCTAAAAGTGTCTGCCCTCCTGTGTGGAGAGGACGAAGTTATTAGCTGAATTTCAAGGACGTGTCTTCATGTGTTTCTAGCTGTAGGGCAGTTGAGACCTGCCCTGCTGGTGGAAGAGATGTGAGATATGAGCCTTGTCAATCGTTGCTGTGACAGAAGTATATGGAAAACTCTGAGACTTTGACAAGTGATCAGTTACAAGTAAAAATCTATTATGAAGTGGAAATCTCTTGGCAAAACAGCTGTTGTGGAAAGTGCTTACTCTGTTAAAACAAACAGGTTGTTCTTTTCCACAAACCAAGAAGAAAAATTCTCTAACTCTTTGGTGGAAGGAGATATGGGGACAGATCCTCTCTGTACAGCTCTGATGTATGAACTTCATAACAGGTAGAAGTAGAAACATCCCCTTGCTCTCCCTCTGCCCTCCTCCCAGTGAATCCTTCATTCTAAAGGAGTGAAAGTTTAGTTTTTCAGACTTAGTCTCTTAAGCTACAGTGCTCAGATTTCTAATAGCTGATTTGCTTGCTATGGATGACTTCTCAGATATTACTATTTTTATTTGTACATATTGGCAAGCATAAAATGGAAACAAGATCTTTACTCAGTTACTGCATAATTGGGGGCAGGGAAGAAACAGGCTTGGAAAATAACTGGATCTTGAGCCTAGAAAGTAACTCGATCTTCCACTTGCTTATCAGAAAAGTAAATTCAGCTTTGTCCTCTGTTATAGGTGGACATAGGACTGTTATAGGTCATTCAGTATGTACCAAGAAGCATATTTGCCACTGGAAAGACCTGTACCCTAGGAGTGTGACAAATTTGAAGCAGGAAGAATTAGGCTGTGCTATAAGTATTTAGGTATTAAAGATGACTGACATGAGTGTGCAGTTAAGAACTTGTCCCTCTAGTATAATAAAAGATTATGCAAGAGAGCATGAAATTCAACATTGTAATGAAGGGCCTGCTCTGAAAAAATACCAGTAGACTTAAGACTACATTAGTCTTTGCATGAAGCTTTATAACAATGAAATATTGTGTTCTTTACTGAATGAGTAAAAAGATCCATTCTTTGTTATCTGAAGGATTGGATGTACTTATGGTGAGAGGGGAAGGGAGAATGAAGAGGAATGTGCTACTCTTCCTACGAACTACAATAAGAACTGGACTGTTACCATAGGCAAACTAGTTATTCATTAAGCTTGTGGGAGAAGGAAAAGGCAAGGTATGAAGCCAGATTTATTAGACAGACAAGCCTGGAAAACATGGTAGGTGTACTCTTTTTGAATTGCAGATTTCATTCATTAACTCTATGATGTCTAGGAGGGCTAGCTTGGGTGCTTCCCTACCCCACCCCACCCCAAATCAAGGGAGCTTTTAGGGAACTTATGTAATACGCTTTCTAGCATTCTAAACGTCATCCTTCAGCTATTACAAGGTTCTCTAGTTCCTGTATTACCCCAGGACAAAAGGGCTGTAAAAGCCATGGTCAAATGCTTAGATTGTCTATAACTTCTGTGCCTTTCTGGTAATATACCGGAGGGGTCCTAGTAGGAGACTGTGCTGCACAAGCACAACATCAGAGGCAAAGTTTCAGTCCAAAAGCTGTGGTTTGCTACTTATCACCATGACCTACCTGCAGCAAAGCCTCAAAATACCAAGTGCCCAGTGCCTAAACCAGTTCCTTGTAGACTTTATGCTTGTTATCCCTCTGTGACATTTTCCAGTCAAAAACTAGCCCTAGATTAAGACTTATGGTTTTCATGTGTATGGATAGTTCAAGTTCCCAGCGGCAGCTATAAAGGGAGGGAGGAACTGAAGCAAATGGACTCTTTCCAATGCTACATGGAGAGCCTGAGGGGGAAGCCAGGAGCAGGATCCAGGAGTACTTTGTCACAGCACTGCCTTCCTTGAGATGAGGATAACATCGGCTGCAAAAATTATTACCTAAAAACTCATCCACACATTTTGTACAGTGCCCGGAAGGCAACGTGAACGCTGACTTATCTAGCCTGAAGCATACTTAGTAGAGGTAGTTTAATATTGTATTTTAAAAGGGAATCTGCAGTAAAAATAATGACTCCCTGCTCCCCCAGCTCTCTGGTATTTTTGAGGTAATTTTGTTTTGCACGCAGAGATGCTGAAACAAATGACAGTATCTGAGCTGTTTTTGCTAGGAAACTTTTTTGTTTGGACCCATCAACGAGAAGGCGCTTCTATCTTTTTAATTTTTTCCTCCTGTGTGATAACACAATGGAAATAAAAAAAAAATGTAACAAACTTCCTCATGTGTTTCACCCCTTGAGATGTCACCCCTCTTCTGCCTTCTAACTGAATTCATTAAATTTTTCCTCTTCCCCATTCCTTTGCTAAAAACATGTTGTTGTGGTTTATCTTCTCCCCTTCCTTGTTTCTGCATATCTTATGCAGTTTTCTTGCTCAGAACACCAGGAAGCTGCACATGGGGCAATTGCTACTTGAATTCCTGCACCACATGCTGCTGGGTGCAAGGTAAAACAGGGGCAGGAACAAAGAGCCACTTTAGATGTGAGTTACTGTATGGCAGCTGATATAGGGTTACCCAGTCTTATACAAGACCTTGGTCATCATCTTTGCTTTCCACACCAGGCTTCTCATTCAGAAAGAGCTGCTGCCATGCTCTGCAGGGAATTGCTAGAATGATAGTTGGCAAGCGAGCACTCAGCCCTTGATGCTGGCAAGCAGCATGCTAGCCTTGACTGGGCTTCCTGCTTCCAAAATACAATATGGATGATCTTCAAAATTCAGTGCTGGGTATCTTCATTATTAAATAATAGTTGTTTTCTGGATGCCGCCCTTAAATCCGTTATGCAATTGCAGAATATGTGTATGGAGTATATTTAAGTGCAAGTTTCTGAACTTGCATGTTGTGTCCACCTCAGCTCTTCAGCACTATGCCCAGACTAACCTGCTGTTAAAATTTCCTCAAAGTGCCAAAACTATTGTGTCTGGCATAGACAGACTGCACTTACTGGCCTCTCTGCTAAGTCATTTTGTCCTACTTCCTCCCTGGGGTCATTTTCAATTAACCTCAGGTGCCAGAAGGCACAGTCACTACCTGAGACCTTGTTCCCAGGTACAGAAGTAAAAGCTCTTAAAAAACGTGTACATTGCACAAGCTCTGTTGCGGGAGGTATCAGCTAGGAAGTTGCATTAGCAGTGTAGCTAGCCGTGAGTAGTACTGGCTTACAGTTAAACTTCAGCTGCGATTCTTTCCTTTTCACAAAACAGTCCAAACGCTATGTTACGGTTACCCCATTAAACCTCAGGTTCTGCTTAGCCACCTCCTCCCGGATGGCCATTTGTATGCAACTCTTTTGACCTTCACTGCAAATCTCTGCTGTGCTCAATGTAGCTGGCTCTAAAATTCGACAGGGTTTTTAAAGCAATAAGTCATGCTGTCCGGCAAGACAAACTACTCTCAAATAGAGTGTCCTGGGGAGAACTTTGTTTGTCTAGGAGGTGGAGTGCTAATAAAACAACGCCTGAGGAGATTTTGTGCAAATGTACAGCAGTTAACAGACTCTGCTGCTGCTGCTCTCATCAGGTGTGCTCAAAAAGCAGAGCATTGAGCTGGAAGTAGGAAAAGGGATGACTGGTAACTCAGGAATCCTAATAGTCCCCCGAATCTGCCAGGTTTGAAACCTTTGTGTCTTCCGGGTTCTGTCCTTGCTCCTACTAAAAACACTGACACCACCACCACTCTGCAATGCTTCTCTGATGGCAGCAGCTTTAAAACTTGGGGATTTTAACGGGGATGAGATTTTATTAGACTCGTCATCTAATAATGAATCTTGAAGCATTTTTAACACTGGACTGAGAAGAGCAGTCCTTCCACCTTCTCTGTCCGGTGCAGGAACCTGCCTCTCATCTGTTCGTCCTGGTAGCAGGACAGAGGAAAAACACCAACTGTCACCAAGGCTATGTTTTTGGTACATGGCTATATTTTCTCAGCTGGTATGAACTCTTACACCTGAGGCCCTCAGCAGCTAGTACTGCAACTGGAAAGCAGAGCTTTAAATAATATGTGTTGGAGTCTTGGCAATTTAGAAGATAGGTTAGTTATCTCATTGTGGAGATCCCTCCACCTTCCAAAAGAGAGAAGAGTTTGATTCTAACTAATCCAAATGCAGAGATCCATCAACTTGCAAATACTGTGAAGCAAAACTTACTGCAGAAATCTGCTTACAAGTATCCAAATGTATTTAAGTATATCTTGGTTTGGCTGAACTTCAGAAGCTCACGTGCAATAACAAGTAACTTTACCTGATGGCTATGCTATCCGATCTGAAGGAGACTGCTGAATACACTTGACAGTGTACAGCTAACTACCTTGTCTCTCTCTTGTTCTTCCAGGTGAAGAAGATTGCAGCAGAATATTACGATAACCTCCCACACCACCAGTCCTGGATTCGAGTTCTTTGGGCATTTGTTTTTGATGACACTATTGGTCCTTATTCAAGGGTTAAAAGACTATGCAAACGGGCAAAAGAAAGTTATTAGAATAGCTCCAGCTGCTGCACTGGTATTTTGTTTGTTTGTTTGAATGAATGAGCTGAGTTTTCAGTAACAGTAGAAGGATGTGTGTGTCTGTGTGTGTGTGGGGGAGGGTGTGTGTGTGTGCTGAAATAGCATCTAAGGGTGCTTAATGTCTCCCTGGAAGAAGACGATGAAATGTTACCGTGATGCACTATTTTAGTATATTGATACTTTTAAATAAAGGATATTTGTTTATGTAACACTGAGAAAACAGATTAGAGAGAGCTATGCTTATGTGAATCTCTGGTCTACACTTAAAATTAACTTCCTCGTCCAGGGCTAAGCATGTCTGACACTGAGTTTTGGCCTGGTCTGCAAAGGAGAGTGCTCTCTCTCTCTCTCTCTGTGTGTGTGTGTGTGTGTGTGTGTGTGTGTGTGTGTGTGTGTATATGTATATTTTGGGGCTGGTTTCTCTACACGCCAGCTTAGATGTAGCTACTTTGCATGCACAGGACCACGCAAGCAGGGCTGCCTGGCATGCAATAGTAAATTATAGCTTCTGTGAGAACCTAAGGGTACTTTTAGCTTGAAGTCTTGTCTAATCCAGTATCTTGCTTCTGACAATGGCTGGTAGTTGAGTTTCGGTGTAAGAAACAGAATATGTACACCTTTGGTCATTATTTTAGTAGCTGCTGTTTGACCTTTATTCCAGGACTTTTTCTAAACCTTTCACGAATCCATTTCTATTCTTGGGATCCAATATTCCACGTAACTTATTGGCATAGCTGAACTGCAATGTGGAGAAAAACTTCCTTCTGTCTGCAGTGTGCTGCCTGATCAGTGAATTGGAAGTGCCATAGCTTGGGTTTGAGGAACTGTGAGTAGGTCTTTCCTAGCCACCTCTTCAAGAGTATTCGTAACTTCATGTTCCTCATGTTTTTCATCACTGGAAGCCTTTTTGGGGATGGAAAGATTCTAATTTTAATCGCTGCCTACGAAAGGTGTTAGTATTTCTGATCTTTTTTCTTGCTTTTCTCCTTATTCTAATTCTTTTCTCTAAGTTCTTTTCTATATGCTTTCTTTTCTGTATATATTATCTATAGTCTATCTATCTCCCTTCCTGAAAATAGGAGTCAGGAGTATCTGTGCCACTGAAGATATGGATACATTAGGTGATGTTTCTTCCTAACTGCTTTCAGAATAATTGTAACTTTTTTCGCTCCCTGATCCCAGGGAGCACTGACTTGACATTTGGGAAGCACGCGATACTCTGTAGCTATAAAAAACATCACTGATGATAGTCTTTGGGGGATGTACCTGGAACACGCAGCTGGGGTTGTTTCTTTCCCCAAGCATTTTACTTTGCACTATTGACGTTGACCTTCATCTGACATTTTTATCAGTTGGAATAGCTAAATCTTCCTGCCTCTCTTCTCCACCCATCAGCTTCTGGCTATCCTCAATAATTCCGTATTGTCATAAACCTTAATTACCTTCCCTTTCTCCAAGCACACTCTATGAAGAATATCTTGAGCAATTTCTTGGGAATGAGGAGTTCAGACGCCATTTAACAACTTCCCTCCATTTTGGAAGGATGACTACCTACTTCTGTCCTTAGTGGGTGGATAAAAGAGGGGTTGAAAGATCCTCTTACATTGTGACAGCTTAATTTCTCAGAGTTTTAGCAAGTATTTTTTTTCTGGAAAACCATGTCTATTACAAAGAAAAGGATTATTCTATGTGCCTGATGATCCCTCAAAATATGCTGTTAGATGTGGGCAGCATGATTTCCTCAATTAACACAGTCTCTGTCCTTCCTATAGTCCTGGACTCAGTGAGCCAGATTGTCTTGCTAGTACCATCTTCGGTTCTTTTGCTAGCTTGCCTGCTACGTCAGGGAGACCAGCTGGCCTGCAGCTCTTGCACTTCCTTGTCCTCCATTTCTTTTTCCTCTGATTTCCGTATCTGTCTGATCTGATTTTGACACAAGGGCAAATACCCAGGCTTGCTCAATGGTGCAAGATCCCTTGTGACTCTGAGGCTGAATATTAGTTCATTGACAGATACTGTTTTTCCTTGTGGGCTGGGTTTCTTGAAAAGGAGAGGAAGAACAGGACTTCTTCTGACACGTCAGACTTGACTGGCTCTTCAGGTGCCTTTTCCCCAAAGAACGCTTTGCTGTAGGAACCTCTATTAACTTCTTCCTATCAATACTCACCTCATGGAGCTTCACTTTTCTTTTAATTTGCTTCAGTGCTGCTGGCTCTCCATGATGAACTTCCCTTAGCAAGCTGTTCCTCAGTTTTCTTGGCCAACTTTAGCAAGTTAATATAAAAGCCATAATAAAGTTTATGCCATCTTCCTCATTCTGACTATTGTACTTTTCCTTTATGTAGAGTGACCTTCTGCCCTGAAGTCTGCTTACTCAGCTGCTCCATGATGCCGTCATCTATGTGATCTATATAGACTCGTAGGCTAGCCTGACACAGAGGCTACAGTGTAAACTGAGGGTAACCCCACTTGGCCACTGCTTTCTTGGCCTGCCTCCCATTGGCATTTCAGTTCCTATCCCAAATTTCCATGCCTGGGCAGCACCACAGCCCTCCTGCTCTGCTCTCTCCATCTAAGTAGGAATTTCAAGTTGCTGGAACTTCTGGTGTTTGCAGATGTGCAGTGTGAGCTTGCTCTTTCTCACGTATGCTTTAGGCTGGTGCTGCTGGGGAAAGCTGGGAGCCTGTCTTCTCCTTGGGCACTTGCCCTTGCTTCAATGATGCTGGCAGAAGGGTTTTTTTGTTTTGTTTTGTTTATTTTTTTTGGTAAACACAGGGTGAATGGGACTTCCAACCACCCTGCTCAAGCAGGGTCATCTACAGCACATTGCCCAAGATCGCCTCCAGGCAAGTTTTGAATATCTCCAGGGAAGGAGACGCCACAACCTCTCTGAGTTGAAAGAACATGAGGGCAATGCATAGTTTTACGGTCTTAGCTTAAAAATTAATCTGAATTCTCCTTTACTGTGCTGCCACACAAATGCTCTGGCAAGAGGAAGAAGGTGAGACATGGATAGGGGCAAACAACCTTATGATAGGTGGGAGGGGAGGCTAATGTCCCTTTTGATTTATGCCGATTTATGCAGTCTTGCAGCTGTACCCTAGGCAGGCACAGCATGACTTCAGTGGGGCACCCTTTTCTACAGCAGGGAATGGCTTAGGACAAACTAAATGAGTGTCTGGGAGGGGGAAATCCTCTGGCAGTACTCCTACATGGCTGAGCACTACCATGCATCGCTGCTGGCAGAGCCATAGGCTAGGACAAACCTGAGCGTTAGCTGTCCTAGGACCTGTCCTCCTGCCTCCAGGCTGGCGAGAATGATACGACTTGGCTCATCCATCTCAGCACTGTCCCCCCAGCAAGGAGGGTGGCCACCGGCTACAGTCTCCACCTCCCGCCAGTTCCGAATTGGGCCCAGGAATTGTGCTGGGAAGCGGTATGCGGCTTCAGTCAAAACTGGGCAAAGACCTGAGCAAGTAACTTCCTAGTAGAGCAGATCACAGCTGACCTCTGGCCCTGCTACTTTACTAGCGCAGTCAGAGCCTGACCAGTCAGGAGTGGATTTACTAGTTTATAACAGGTAGCGCTGGGGAAACTGCTGGGATTCAGATGAGGTGTTATTGTTTCTCCTAGTTAGCCAAGTCCCTCGTTCCCCGCGTCATCCTGGGCCTCTGCTCCCACAGCTATTAAGTGACCCTGCGCAAACTTCAGTTCATTGTACCTTGATTATACGAGGCCTGCAGAGGTAAGAGAAGAAAGTAAGAACAACTCACTTACAGCAGGTTGCTAATGTTAATAGCGGGGCACACCATATACAAGCTTAGCCTGCATTTAAGATGCAGTTATTTCTAACCTTAGGCATAATGTCACATTCCAAGACCAAATGAACTGTGCCAGGCTCCAACTTCCTGAAGCTTAATTAAGATTACGGGAGCGTTTCACAGAATGGTTATGATCATTTGAAAGGCAGAAGTTTTGAAAAGTATTTGCTGTTGTCAGGTATCCCATTAAATGGGTTTAAAATTAAGAAACACTTGAGCTATTGTATGAGATTTATGCAATAGACCATTATAGTCTTTACTGTTACTGATGCTTGGCTGTATTCTTCCTAGCTGGAAACGTTCTTTGTCTTGGCCCAAGTGTTGCAGTACTGTATTGCACATCAGTGTCTTTCTGCTTTATTTCTGATGTGGAAATCTTGCCTCGCTACCTAACCTTCCTCTAGCCTTCTGCTCTGGAAGCTGGGACCGGGCTACTTAGCATTAAATAGCTAACAGAAATCAGGCGCCAGAGCTTGCAGTTGAATTAAATTTCTCCCATAGAGCTATTCTTGTATTTAATTTACAGTATAACTACACTACGAAAAAATAGCTCCTGGACTGTTCCCTGTAAGTCAGACCGGATTGCTTAGAAGCGTGCTGAAGGGAGAGCCACAGGCACTCGGAGCTAAAGTAGATAATTTATAACTAACTGCAAAGCATACGCCATCCCCTCATATGCATCTTCTTGCTTTAATGCAGTCCTTCGCATGTTGTAGCTGTTGCTGCCTTGTGCCTGCTGCACTCTAAAACACTGCCTGGCTCTCTAATGTGTAGCTAACGTCTAGCTTGCTGTCGCTAGCAAGCGAGCAGCAATTGCCTCTCTTCGGATTGCTGTGCTGAGCTTTGCACCTGAAACAGTTCCCAGGGACCGGCTTTTAAAAAGAAATCTTCTAGAAGGCCGGAAGCAAAGCAAAGCATTTTGGAAAATGTCTGAAGGATTTCAACAGCTGAGCTCCAATCTCTTACCTCTTACACAAGGTTATCAAGGAGATGGTATCAAGCACACTGCCTTGTAAAGCTTGCACTGAATCAAGTCAAGCAGAAATCCCCAAGGTTACGCTTAGTGGAAAGAATTGCTCTCTAAAAAGATTGTATGACTAGCAGGACATGAGCGGTGCACACCGTTAAGCGTTCAGCCACTCCGATGCTATGTCCTGTATGCCTATCTCAGACTTCAGTTGGATTGAAATAAAGCTCATCAAGCACTGCAAAATGAGAAATATTAACAAATGACTGCCCTTAAGCCTCTAGCTGACCAGTGCTAGTGATTTCAGCTGGCTGTGACTGCATCATCTTCATGCCTTCAGTAGTCTGCTTCTGAATAAATACCTCCCTTTTATTTACTAGAAGCTCTTAGAAGTGCAGCTGATGGGACCGTTTTTTTGGTGATGACAGGAGATGAAGTGCAGGAGCTAAGGCTGAAGGTGTGGGATGGTTAGTGGTGGCCTGAAAGAGCAGCAGCCACTGTGCTTCACATAGTTCAGCAAAAAGCTGCTGAAGTTGAAACAGTCTGACTACAGGCGCCACAGCAGAAGGCATCCAGAGGGCAATCTGGAGGACGCAGGTAGGTGAGACCCACGCCTGTCTGCAAACGAAGGCAGTGCTGTAACGCTTCTGGAGCTGCTGCTGCATAGCTGCCATTGCACTAGCACTAATACGCACATGCTCTCGAACATGACACGCTCGTGCTCTGGTGCTGGCTGGCTGATGAATGTGAGTTACCTTCCTCTCATCGTCCCTGGTGCCTGCAGTACCAGCAAGAAAATAAACCAAAGTGAAACAGAAGTGCTAAATCTCAAAGGATTAATGAAACAAAGAAAAGCAGGGCCATGTGGACAATAAACAGTTTATTACCAATATGAACACAGATACTGTGATGCACCGACGTACCATTTTTTTTAATATTGTGATAACTCTGAGACAAAGAACTTGTTGGCTGACAACTAACGTGTCTCTGTTTCTTCTGGTGATGCCACAATACATTTCTGTTGGCAAAGGATCTTCATTTACATTGCAGACTACTAATAAAATTACTTTGAAGTAATCTATTAAAAGCAAATGGTTCACGTGTGTTCTTATCTACTACTAAAAAGAAAGGTAATACATTTAAATAAGCAAATACAAAATACAAAAAAGGCTGACAAATCCAATGTGCAGTGTCAGATGAAATCTAAAAAATCCAGAAATTTAAAATTTAATATTCTTTAGGTTAAGACTTTTAAAATGAAGCAAATCCAAGGCAGCAGCAAGCTTCAAAGTGTGCTGAGTCTGCTAATAAAAAGGGTATAAGAACAAAGACAGTGCCGGTGTCCTCTCTCACCATCTTGCATGACCTTGGTACACTTAGAAATGATCCGATCTTCCTAGCATTCTTAGTACCGTCCAAACGCTTTGCAATCATTATGTTGTACTGATTCTACTCAACTCCTGCCGTATGGCTAGAAAACCAAACCAAAAAGTTAATGCATAATGTTATTCCCCGTCCGGTGGAAAATGCTAAGTATAGAGGTTGCAGAAAGTACACGCTGGTAAAAGGATGAGTGGAGGGTAAAAGGATGAATAAGGGAAAGCAGTCAGCTGTTTGCTTGCAAACTGCAATACTGGTTTAAGAAGTTGCATCTGTGATTTACACGAATGTCTTATTTTGCATTGCAATGAACTAGGAAGGCTCTGAGGGCCAAGCTGCGAGGACGGTAATGTACAGGCGAGGCTCTGCTCAGCTGCAAACTGCCCAGCTGCTTCGTGAGCACACAGGTCTAGGGCAAGGGGACAGGGAATGGATTTTAGCTGTTCTACAGTTTCCTCTTTTTACCCTCCCGTATGAATCTAAGCTAGGGAGTGCAAAGTGCGGACAAGTCTCTTCACATGCCTTAATGTGGGCTTCAGATAAGTATTTTGCTGTGTATTTCAATAAGAGCAGTACTGTGCTGCCTTATACATCATTATGTTGGCCTGGAAAAATACATTTAGTCATACAATGCCAAGCAATTTCTAAAAACGCATTGATCCATTGCACTTTTCATTGAGTTAGGAAAAACATGTGGCTACCTGGAAGGTTCTAACCAGTGGAGAGAGCGAAGGTCTGAAATACGCTTTTCAAGCGTAGGAAGCCTGTGGGAGATGCTCTGGGAAGATTTTTTTGGTTTGCTACCTTTGCTGGGCCAACAGTTTGATACCTGAATGTCAGGTTGGCTACAAGTGATTTCACGCTCACCAGCTGTGATAAATTAACATGCAACTGGGCTACTGGCAGGCCCTTTCACATGCTCCCACCTCCGAGAAACACAGGCCAACGAATTTCTCACAGGTTAGGAGTGAAAATGCTTGTCAACAGCACAAAAATAAAGGATGGAAATACAACGTAATGATCAGCTCAGTTAGGGTAGATGCTTTTCTTCAAATACGTATATAAATCAGAGCTGCTCAAAAAAGTCTGAGAACACCATGGAACTCTCTGCAGTTCCTGTCGTCTTACCTACAGGAAATTAGTCATAAAGATGAGAAAAATAATAATTTTTCTCTTTCTTACCATCAATTATCTCCTCTTTCACTTTGTGTAACTCTCTTACAACTTCCTCCAATATTTCCTGATGAGACAAAACACAAGTCAGCTGCTCAGAATTTCCTTCTAACTGGTGGAAGAAAATGCAAGTTTAACACAGTTGTGCTGTGTCCCCCACCTCCACTGATGAGTACAGCCTAGCACTACTAAAAGCTATGTCCACAGTCCCAGGCCAAGGGCGCAGAAGATGCTGGTGTATTTACTTGCATGTTTCTGTACAGACTTTTTGATCCAACAGCAGTGAGATTGTGCTCTCCTGCTGCTCAACAACTATCCCTTCTCTAATCACCTAGTCATAGAGGAAATCAGAAGACTGAACAGCTGTTTTGCTTGTACAGCGCATGCATGGGGGAAAATGGGTAGCTCATCAACATCTTTTTTAATGTGAAAGACCTTTTTGCTCACCTGTTTCATTCGATCAAAATCTAAGGCATCCATAGCCACATCATTGCTGCTGCTCACTGGCTTCATCCTTGAGAAATGGAAATAGAGGATAAAAAAAGCCTGTCAGTTCCTTGCAATGTATGCTAAGCTATATCCACCCAGATGAAGCAGATGAAATCCACCACAGAGCAAGAAAGCATGTGTTTTACCGCTGCACTGCTCCCTCTTGTGCTTCCCAGGAGTGCCTTGCAGCCTGCTCAGCTTTAAGAGCAAGCAGCACTGCTTCCTGCACTCAACCTCACCTGTCTTCTTGCATTGAAGATGCATTGGAGAGAGAGCAAAGACTGCAATGAAACTTATACTTTTTTTTTCCAATGATTTTAAACTAGGTAACACTGAGATAACTTCAGGGGATAAAACCTACTAACAATGCATCTTATCACAACACTGGCAATCTGCAAGATGAGTGTCTGGTTTTTCTCTCTTTCACAGTTTGCTTGCTGTGCGATAACCTGGTCTTGGCCAAATAGACTTTAATCAGTTGCTAAAATAACAGTATAATTCAGGTTAGAAAAAGATTACTAGTAAAATAATAATCCAGTAATCATTTCCTTGGAAGGCCTGACTTGAGCAGAGTTTATCGATAATACTGTGTAGCAGATGTACTTTTTCTTGACCAAGAAATATAAATAACTTACCCTTAATGTCTGATACACGTGGGTGTTATCAGTCATCCAGCTCAAAGGAGTACATTAGTCAGTGAGCTGAACTCTGTGTGACCTTTTTTTTAATCAGTAATTCTAAAACATCTCAAAAAATGAATCATAGTATATAATTTGTAGCAGAAATTTCTACAAATTTTTACAAAAGAACTTTGCTATCATCTTTGGTCCCAAACTGGGGGGGGTGGTCAAGATTTCACTGATGCAAGGGGTATTGCTTGGGTCTTGCAATCCTTCCTTGGGAAAATCTTTTGCGTTTCCTACATTTTCACAGTTAAGTTGGGAGTAAAGATAGATACAGATGCCATCAGTTGAACAGAATGGAGTTCTCCACTGAACTCTTCCCAGGATGAATGGCATTACAGATGATAGCTGGTGAAAACTTGACTACTGCTTTAAATCGCCCACGTTTCATTCCCATTTGCAAGGATAAATAACGTTCTTTTCTGTTTCTACTGGAAACTCTCACATGTTTCCTAGAACCATGATGTCGCATTGGTTTTAGGAGAGCTGGAGAGACTATATTTTGCTCTACACCAATGCATCCCTTTGCATGTTAGGGCAGGGAATATCCCAGCATCTTTAACATAGCAGTAAGTCTGGGCAGGTATCTGCCATTGGCAACTTTCTCTCTGCAACCTATTAGCACTGTAGTACAAGTAACAGTGTAAAATAAAGAACACTTCTCTGCAGTAAACGCTAATGAGTAAGCCTGTGGTTTACCTCCTTCTCCAGCTTATCCTTTCATCTCAGTGTATAGTGCTGCAGTAATACAGGGTGGTCCTGGATCTGGAACTCTTTTTAGCTGTCCAATATCAAAATTTAATCTCAAAATCTATGGGTAAGAATGGGGTGATACTGCAGCTTGGCTGCTTTGACTGACAGAACTGCTGAATTCCTGCTTTCGGCTTCTCTGCTCTTAACTGCTGCCAGCTTTTGCCCTCAGTACTTTTGAGTGCCCTGCATGGTGGCTGGGCCTTTCTACCGTTTGATGTTGTTAACTGTGGGATCTTCTAAATCCTTCTGCACTACGCTTTGCTCTCCTTTCCCATGCAGCCACTGCAGCTGCATGGAAGAGTTAACTTCCCTTTGCCAAGTTGCAGACCTTTCTGATCATTTCTGGCTCTGCTTTCAAGTTTCTCCAGAGGCTGGAAAACGAAAATCATCAGTCTCCTATTTGCAGGGTCATCCCAAAACTGCTGTCGTTTTGGAGCAACAAAAAGATGCTCCAAATCATGTCTTCCACATGGCACAGCACACTGCCAAGCCTGTGCCTCTAATTCAAGACTGCATATGCCTTAAGCACTTGCTTAAGTTTAATTAACTTCTGTGATGCACGTGCCTTCCTGAACAGGGGGCTGTTTCCATAGCAGAAGCCTTTGATACAATGCATTTTGCTTGCACCTTGTTTCAGCTGTACTCAGGCCAAATTTGTGCAGTGACAGACAAAGCAGATTGTAACAGAACGAGCAAAGATGTGACAAAGACGAACATTAGTGCCGAATGATGTGATTTCCCAAAGGACAAGCCAAGACAATTAAGAAGCCAGGCCGTTAGCCAGTACCTAGAAGACACGTGGGATTGTGTGGGGCTCTTAGCTTCACAGCTCTTCACCACTGATGGGTTTCTACAGCAATGGAATGAAAGGAGACGTGAGTTGTGCACATGCCACGGGGACAGCGGGGCTACCCAGGCTGCTAGGCAGCCGCAAAGCAACCTGTGCCGCTCACCTCGAAAGTAACGAAGATACAGGCTTTTCAACAGAATTGCTCCTTTCCCATGGCTTCTTTCCAGAGTCTGGAAAACAAAAAAATGAACATTGTTTATTCTTTTTTCTTAACAACAAAAACTCCTGAAACTGATTGTCGCAGACAGCTGCTTTTATTCAGTGAGGATGAGTGACTTAAAAAAGAGCCAGGAAAGCAGGAGTGCTGAATGAGCATGGTTGCCTGTTTCACAGGGGAAGCATCGGCAAAAATCTGGTTAGTGATCCCTTTAACTAGGGACCAAATAGTTAAATTACACTAAAAGAACATGAAACTGGAAAAGGAGGAGGAAGAGCACAAATCACTTACGTATTAAGAAATGCAGACTCATTGCTGCAAGGCTTATTTTATTCCGTATAATATTTGTTAATTTATATTTTAATTTAAGAAGTCTTTTTCTTGCCTGCATAGTTTGCAGAAAATGCGGGTGTATCTGAGAAAAGACAGGTGTAGCCCCTGCTATGCAAATCTCCAAGGAATTTATTTAGTGCTGTTTACATTTCTAACTTACAGAAGATTCTCAAAAGCTGCACTACATCCCGCTATTGGAAATGTGTACTCTCATCCCAATCTTTCCTCATGAAAATTGTTCAAAATTAAGTGTACTGTTCCAGAGACTTGAACAACATACACCTTGTGCACAAGAACAAGAGTTTGCTCCTCTGTGAGGTCCTAAAAGGCTCTTCAAAAGAATTATGGGCATTCCTAGGAAATCTCTAGATCTTGTTTCTCATTTATATGCACCTTTCTCCCGGCTTCTTTCCCTTCCCTTGCAAAGGAAGCCAATAATGGCTTTGTTTCAAAAGGAAGCTGGAATGGTTAAATGCTCATTCCCTCAGGAGAGATTTATTTTATCGTGTATAAAATCCAAGGCTGACGCAAGAATGAATTTGACTGGCTTGCAGTTTATCTACTGAGATATAATAATTTCAAATCAGCATAGGAAAAACACATTTTAGGTGCCGCCTTAATTTCACCTCGTAACTCTCCGGATCAGGTCTACTGCAAAAAGCTACTATCATAAGGAAAGATTATAGTTTAGGATGAAAACCTTAGCTGTTTAAACCAGGACAGCTACATGAGCAGAAGTGAAAGAATGGAGGTATTCACTCTTAGAGGAATCAGGTGCAGTGAAGACCCAGATCCTCAGCTATATATCTGGACCTAAATAGCTAGGTTTTCTAGCTGTTTTGTTATTTTCTCGGCTATGAAGAGTATAATGACACAATTTCATGGTGAGTACACTTTTTCAAACACTAGTCGTTTGGAAAATTTCTTTCAGTTACCACTATTGCACTCTGAACTAGGACGCTGAACTCAGATTCCAGGGGTGAGAGAGCTGACTAGGTTAAGACGACAACTAAAATAGTAGTAGTTTAATATGATACCTGAAGAATTCTGCTGTTGCTGGGTGGCGCCTCGTGTAATGGGTGAAGGAGAGGTGCTAGCATCATCCTAGGAGGAGAAAAACAAGACGTTTCTTAATTTTGGAGATGAAGTGCAGAGTCCTCTTCTACTTTGGAGACCAGCCAGAGCACAGGTGGGACAGAAACAAGCCCTAGCATATCTGACTGGCGCTGCTGCCATGGAATGGGCTGAAGCACATTTAAACTTTAACCTGTCTCTTCCTTCCATGTTAAGAGATACCACTTTTTATTTTTCATGGACACTTTTCCACTAAGAACTGAATCACTTTCATCTCTGTACACAAACCGAGGCTGAATTTCCCCTGACAAGTGCGGGCTGTTGTTGTCTACGTACAGATCATCCATTTCCCATATTTAGAGGCTCTCTGTAATACAGAAATCGAGCCGCCTGAAGAAATGCCCAGCCTTTTAGCCTAGGACAGCCACTGACTTCAGTGAGAGCAGTCCAGTTACTAACAGAATACAAGGCAAGTTAATCTATCAATACTCCTACTAACTATAAGATTAAATACCACTTCACAGATTTGGACTCTGCTGTCTGTGACATTGACCCATATATTTGACATGTCAATATCATTTAACAGCCCTCAAAACACACTCAGGCAAAGCATTAATTTTGCATGGTAAAATGAATCTGCAGAGTTCGACAGAAGATACCCCCACCACATAGTGTACTCCACGGCACACTATAAACAGGTGCTCTCTGAAAACATCTTGGTGCTACTAAAAGTTTGGGGAGGCAAACTAAGCAGAGCTTCAAGGCAAGCGTAAATGGCAGAAAGACAGAAGAGGCTGAGTACTTCGAAGCTAAATAGCACCTTTCATCTCTGAGTGAATGGTTCCAAATCAGCTTTGGGGCCTGATTAACATTAATAGTTGCACAGCAGAATCACGGATTCAACAGGCAAATTCCAGGCTTGAAGCATCCTTCCAAGAACTCCCCCAAAATAGCTGCTTTCCTCCTTAAGCATGCAAATGCTTGTTCCTGCTCTTGCTACAGACCTCTCTGAATGGGGCGAGGCCTGTGCTTTCTGAATGCCATTCCTCTGAGCAGGAGGGAATATCTCTGGTGGGAATATCTCTGTACAGGTGACAAGCTGGATGCAGGATGCTTCAGCCTGTAGCTGCCTCAGCAGCCTGCCTCCCCGAGGGGTACAGGCCAGCCACATGAATGCGGTATGATCAGCAGCCCAGGCAAGCACGACGGGAAGGGACACAGCTCCGAGCCTGGCCTCTCCTGAAATGGGAAACATCTCCCACGCTGTACCAGTTCAGCCGGTAGAAAGAAGTTCTTTAATCTGCCGGCTGAACTTGCAGCATCTCTCACATGCATCAAGTTCACCTTAAAAGCTGCATCAAATCCAAACTCTTGTTCAATTGCTTTCGTGGACAACATACAGACAGAACAGTTAAGCATGAATGCATCGAAGTTCCCCTCCATTTATCCGACTTCCGTCTTGTTTTACCGTGAGTGTTATAAGCATGTATTTTAACTTTTGCAAGGCCTAGTGCTTAATCTACTGTTCCCCTTTCCCCCTCGGAGACATGTTTTTAATGCAGGCTGGGCTCCAAAGCGAGCTCATTCTTGCTTTGCATGGAGCATGGCAACCCAGAGTTACCCCACATGGCCGATGATCCAGCTCAGCCCAGCTGAGGCCGCAAGTTTAAAGTACGAAACATGGACCTGATCTCAGATGACTTGCCAAAAGGGTTCATGACATCTTCTTGAGGGGCAAGAGCCTACAGTACCCTAAAATATTCAGAGCACACCATGAAAAAGCACCTAGTCACCTGGTTTGGACAACATCTCATCTATGAAGAAGACGACAATTCTTCTTTCTAATGTGCTCTTACTAGAGCAACTACACTTAACTTCTGATTGCATGCACACATTTATTAATAAATTAGCAGTCATAATGACACATACATGAATGAGTACAGGCCTTTAGCTTACAAGGGAGCATATCAATTTATTTGTAAGAGGACCACAGCAAGAAATCCTTCACTTACATTTTGGCTTTCCTCTTCCTTTTTGTCAGCTGGCTTGTCTGACTGCGATGCTGCTTTCCTCCTTTGCAAAGGAATATGAAATAGGACACACAGTCAACCCTCTGGAAACACATCTCCTGTGCAAGGCACCAGTTTCCACCTGAGAAGGCTGATTCACACTCTGGTGGGAGTCATTATTTACTCAGTTCATCTTAGGGAATTTGACAAAGATTGAATATGTTTGGTTACGTAGGATTTGGTTGGTGGTGAGGAATCAAAAACTTAGCATTATGAATCAGGGAGGGGGCAATATTTTGAGGGAGTGCTTAATAGGATGGAGGGTGTACAGCATAAAGAAATGTGTCAAAGCGGAGGGAGGAACTGCAGCTGGGTAAGAAAGGGAAAACTTCTTTCTAGGGCTCAGGAACTGGCTGCTTCTGGAAGAAACAAAAACACCCAGAGGTTGCTCAGGCAGGTGTTCTAGTGAAGGGCCAAACTGCCTTCTCAAGCACATGCAATATCCTTTTCGTGGTTGCTCTATATCCCCTTATTCTCACTCCCATAACCTATAAGCCCAGCAATAAGTTGTGACTCTTCTGTCCCTCTGTTTTCTTCTTGGCTGTTAAGCGCATTGACTAAGTAAAAGAAAAAAACAAATTCTTCATTTTCAAGTACTGCTTAGAGTCTAAACTGCACTCAAGAAATGTGCCATGTGCTGATCCTCTGGACATCAGATTTGGGAGTTCAGACTACCGGGGAACCTCTACTCTCCACATGGATTTTGACTGCAGTGATCTTAATTCTAATCCATCTGCAAATACTACCTTTGTAGATTTTTTTCTTAATATCAGCATGACAAATTTTTCCTTTAGTCTTTATTCTGAGGTGGATAAAATTCATCCCATAAAAAAACCCCCCAAAAACAAAAAATCAAATCCCAAATGGCTTTCTGAAAGACTTCTGAGTTTAAAAAACCCCCCACAAGTTTGTCAAAACATTTTTTTTTACACATCACTGGCAAAAGAAAGGCCTCAGTGGCTTGACAAATTGGAGGATTTGATGTGAATTCGGCAAAAAACAGAGGAGTTAAAATATATGCATGTTTTTGTAGGACAGAGTGCCTTGCAGGAATGATTTATAGACATTCAACTGCATTAATGATTTTATTATACCAGATAAAGAATGGTTTTTGCAGTGTTCCTGTAGTATCTTTAGTTGATATTTCTGCGGAGCAAAGGTTACAGCAGTTATGAACCTGAGCCAGGAAAATATTTGCCAGGGTGAGAAATCAATGTTAGATTATGCCTTGCAACACACTTTACTGGGCTAGAAATGATAGTGTTTGTCAGATAGTTCATTATTCTCCTGAAATTCAGTTCTGAAACAAACAGCCACTCTCACGGGGGCCAATATATCTAGAGGAGAATACTTTATATCACCTGAGCTCTCAAAGTCTTTTTTCTCTGTTACTTACCCAGCATTAGATACATCCCCTGCTTCTGAGCATGTGGTTTGCTGCTCTGGAAAAGGTCCCTGCGATTCTATGCTCATTGCTCAGTGATTTTTGTATTGAACATGCTCAGTTCAAAAACACCTTTTCTTTCTCCCCAGCTGCCAGCTCTGTAAAAATAACCTGAGACACAGTGTCAAAGGATTTGCAGCCGAGGTAAGTTCCCTCAATATCAGTTTCACAGCATGTGTCCAGACTGCATCCTCGACTGACACTTGTGTATTTTCAATAACTTACTTCCACGGTTTTGTGATGCAGAACTTGATAGACAATTCTGCTGACGATACACACTTAGGGAAGGGATTTGCAGCTCCACTGTTTTCTCGGTACTGGCTGTACAGGGCTCACTGGGGTACAGGTGTTTTTTTGTTAAAATACTGAAGTGATTCAGGCCTGAATAACCGAAGAATCTGGATCCCACTGCTGAAAGCCACACTTGTGTACCTTTTAGACTAGAACCACAGACAATGACATACGCATTTGCAGGGATTTCTGTATCCAAGCATATCAAATGTCTGTTTAGCTTGCTTGTTCGAACATAGCTAGTTACCCCTAAATCTAGCCACCAAACCTGACTTTACTTACAGACATTTGCCAGTTCAGCAAGGTCAGCCTTGACATGTAGCAGCACAAAATAGGTCAGAGGTCAAACTAATAATTAACTACTTTAATTAAAAGCTATTAAAACTATTTTAATTATAAAAAGAGAGAACATTATACATTTGGCATGTTACACTGCTAGTAACCGCTTTTATAGCTCTGTGTATTTATATAATGCTTTCCAAAGGATTAAATCCATGTTCAGAATTCCTTCTGAAGTGACCAGGACATGGAAGACAGTTGGAATTAGACCCACTGAATAGGAAATTGTTTTTATCCTAGACAACTTTATTTAAGAACTTTATCTCTGTGCGCTACACAACTTAACTACACTTCGTCATCTTACTCATCTTTTTCTTTCACTACTTGTGTAAAAAAATCTTAAGAGCTAAAAACAAAACATGTAACAGCAGGGAATTAGGAGTTACAATCTGATACATTACTGTTGGAAGCAAGGGGAAAAGAGAAAGCAAAGGGACTTGAAACTGAGTGTCTTTAAACATCTGATAGCTTGATACATCACAGCTTGCCTTGGTGGAGAATAACTTGGCCAGACTGTCTCAAGCATGCTAAGAATCAATAAGAGTTCACTTGCCAAGATGCTATCCTGTTATTGCACTTCTGTATACATTTTTGGGCCCAGCATCCTGAATGTGCTGCATAAAAAATTATTTGTCTACGCTCCTCCCATATTTCATTCTTACAGAAAACAGTAACTTTGAAATAGATTCGGTAATTTGGTAAAATCACACAGGATACATTTATCACTGTCCTGGAAGGTTACCACTCTGCAGGATTTGCTACAGCAGCTAAACTCTGTGAAATATCATCGCTGTACCACCAACGCTTTTCTATTAAGTGCCAGGGGCCTCTGGCAACTAACACATACACAGGACCTGTCGAATTGCAAAGAGGCACCAAAGTGGCCCATTGCTAACCGAAAATGACAGTATCTTGCTTGACAATTTGCTGCTGATCTCATTCTAGTGCTTACTTGAAGTCTAAATACAAACCTTTTTGCCAGTAATTTATTCATTTCTTCCATTAATCCCCCTCCACCTCCTCCACTACTTGTTCGATTGGCATCGCTCTTGGAGACTCCACTGGGACTGGACCCTCCTGAACCGTCTTCTGGCTTAAGACAGAAATCAACATTGCAAGTCATAAGAAGAATTTAATTTCAGACCATGCCCTTAATGATTAGCTTTCATAATTATTAGAAGCAGCGATCACAGCACAGACTAAAACCAGAGGTTAGGATGTGTTCTGCATTGGAAAGGAGACCCATATAGACCTTGTTAAACCTGGGAACAGTCTGGATGAGGCAAATATATGGGCAGATGATAAAAAAAAACCCACACTGCTGCTTGTTCACAAGCATGTTTAGGTTATGCAACCCTTACCTTAGTGGCCACCTACTTATGTGAGGCCTCAACAGTCTAAACTAGTTTCTGTAAGTGCAGTGCAGTTTAAACCACTTATGATGGTTGTAAAACACTAGTAGATAATACAATGCAGAAATAATGAAAATCTAGTAAAATAAGAATTTGCAGCCATTTGGGCTTCAGTTGTATTACAAACTGACTTTTAACGGTTCATCTAATGGTCAGCTGAAGCATGTTTCTCTAGGTTTCACACTAGATTCTGAATACACATGGGCTTTGTTTGCAGATCACTATATCAAGCTGAGCCGAGCCTTCCTGCAGCAGGGAAGAGCCTATCTAGGAATCCCAGTGCCACATCCTTACCCGTTGAACTCTCCTTAGTTTGGCACCCGGGGGCCCCCCAGACGATGCAGGGATCACTGCAGCAGCACTGGGGTGACCTGGTGGAAGTGCTGGGCCTGAAACGCAGAGAATACGAATCGCACCTGAAGAACAGCCCTCCCCAGGTCACGAGCGGTGCCACGTTCTCTCTTCCAGGGCCATGAAGTGACAGCGCAATGAGCAACCAATGCGAGGAGGCACCAAGCATTCAGAGGGATGATGAATGGTGAAGGCATCCATGGTGAATCAGCTACAGTTGGGTCCTTACGACACCCTGTAGCTAACAAACAAGCCATCTCCCTCTTTCTCTCCCAGGATGGGCTACTGCGTATTCCGCACCAAAATCAACAGAAGATAGATGCCGCTGCTATAGCTTCCCACAGGCAGATGTGCAGAAGTTGCATGAGCGACATTGTTAGCACCAGCTCTTCATCAGAATCGTGAGCTACATCTACACATCCGCCTTTCTGTTCAACGGAGTGCGCGCGGCCTTGGCCAGTCTCGGAAAACAAGGTGAGAGTCAAGCTCCAACCACATTGTGGTTCAGCAAAGCTGCTCAAAGTGGCAGCCTGTTTGAGGGACTGATTAGAAGTGGTTAATTCTGTGGCAACGTTTTGCCTATTGAATGGGTCAGTTGAATGAATATACCACCACAAGGGACTTTCCCTACGTTATGTTCTCTCAGAATATTCTTCTTGTGATATGTAATCCCCGGTTCGATTGTTCAGTAAGCATTATTTTGAAAAAGAGGGAGGATATGACCCAGGAACTTTTGGAAATGATATTTAACGTTAGCAGCCTGATTTTCTTCTTATGAAGGGTTTCTTATAATACTGCCCTATTTCTGTGGTTCTCTCTCCCATTATTTCACACTCCCAATTCCATTCTTGAAACGAACTGTGGCTGCTATTAGAAATACTTTAAACATTTCAAATTCTATTTGGTTCACAAATATAATAGCTAGTAATTCATTGTGGGTACAGTTAACTGCAATTGTAAAACTACACCCACCTAATTACAGGCCAGCCTGAGGCAAAAATGGAACTGAGACAAAATAATGGACTGACGTAAATTTAAACTAACTTTATTGAACTGAATGGATTTCAAGGACTTATATCAGCCTAAAGACTGAACCTACAGGGGTGGTAAAAATACTTTTAGCACAAAGTGGAAGAAAACGTCTCTGTTTTCTACCTTTTCTAGGCACATCATTTAAGCATTATATGCGGTTACAAACAGGAATGGATCCAACTCACAAAAAACGTGATCTGAATTGCAAACAGGCATTATTCATAATTGTTCTAACTCAGAAGGCTTTAGATGAGCACTAGAAATCAAGACCATATGCAAAGTACAGACCCACGCTCTTGACCTGCCTGCATTAAAAAAGATTTGCTGGAATAGTTAGGGTGGCAAGCCCTCAGCCATGAATGCACAGTTTAAACCAGGAAGAGAGTTCCTAGAATGAAATAAATTATATAAGCACAGGGGATTCCAGGTTACTATACCAACATTTATGTTATATCTTTTGCTGGTAAGAGAACTATCACTTAAAAAAAGAATAAGAACCATAACCTGAACCATTATTGCTACACAGACAACAATTCTACCGTAGACCTGGCCTCCAAATTCAGAAAAGCCCATCAGCCCATCAGCTAAGTTTGGGCCAGCTGAGTGCAGGTTTTGTACCAAGCTCACTGCCAAATGCAATTTGACTCTGGTGAGTGATTTTTAAATCTCCTCCTCGGCTAATACACTAAGACTATACATTGCAACAAGCCAACTACAGAGCCGTGGCCTTGAAACTTTTGCTTTTTGTCCTGCTTTTAGCTCTGAAGGTCCTCAGACCAGCCCTGATTGCATACTATACCGCTCCACCTTGGTTTCAGATATCAAGGACAGCAGGATTAGTCTTGGATCTCTCAGGCCTTTTTCCAGCATTCATGGGCTGTGCGAATGGGACTTCTAAATTACTTCAAAACTAATGCTTTTTACAGGTCACAACTCGGTCAAAATAAGTACTTACTCAAGTGGGAAATGGTTGATGAAGTCATGTAAGGAGGGGTCCTCTTGGACACGGGCACCTCCGATAGAGCAGCGTACGAGGGAGGTAATGGAAGAGAGGGTGACATGGGCTGATGCAATTGCTGTGGAGGAGGAGAGGGCGGGTGGGAGCACTGAGAGGAAGCCTGGCTAAAGCAGCCAGGAGGGCTGGCTGTCAGGGGCAGCTGGGAGGTGGGCACAGCTTCTGGGTGTGAGAAGAAGGATCCATCCATACTTTGCACCTGGGTCCTACAGGAGCCTAAAGGAATTTGTCCTGTTAGTGCTGCTTCAGGACGGCCATTCAGAGGTACGTTTGCTGAGGTTTCCTGGCCTGTTTTACCTGTGGACCCTCTGAGCCTGTCGTGTGCGACAGGAATCACGGGCAGGACGACTGGAATATGCGGCTGCAGGACAAAGGCCTTCTGGGCAGGTGGTGCATGTGGGAGGGGAGAAGCAGAAGACTGAGGAGAGTATGGAAGAGAAGAGCGCCTGAGAGGCTGGTGAGAGATGAAGGGAAAGTGGGAAGGTGGGGGTGGGGGTGGAGACAGTGAGATTTGCTTGATGTTTCGTGTTACAGTCCCGTGGTTCAGCCAGGCCGGAGGGGAGGAACCTGGGGAGGGTGACAGCTCAGAGGCTGAATGTCTGTGGAATAGCTGTGGGGGCTCTTTGGCTCTCCTGGAGGATCTGAAAGAGGCTTTACTAGTGGGTTGAGGGGCAGCAGATGCTAAAGACACAACTTTGGCATAGGGTGGTGGTGGCGGGGCAGCACCAGCCGAGGTGGGAACACTGCAGTTACTGTAGTCAGGAGGAAGAGACTGGCGGTGAGAGGGGGGAGAGCACACGCTTATCTGAAGGGTGGAAACTAAAAGAATAGAAGAGAAAAACGAAAAGAATAAAATGGATATGCAGCAAGGAATGAAAACAAGGCAAAGTGGCATGGAAAAAAAAAAAAGGAACTGCAAAGTAAATGCAAACAGAAACTCAAAGCAAAGACAAGATGGTGCAGAAAACCACTGGTTCTAGTGGTTTCCAATGAAATCCAGATACGGAGAGCTGTGATCCTCAGAGCAAAGGCCGGACTTTGTGCTTTAACACGTCTTCGAGCCCTGTGCGCCGCTGAGTCAGAATTATGACAGCTTGCGCCGCCCTCCCTGCAGGCACTGAGGCAGCATTTCAGTTTCACTGACGCACAATCGTACACGATAACGTCTGCCCGGACAGAGCTCAGCGACTTCTGCCCCTGGCTGAAGTTCGTGTGTAACTCTGAGTTGGTTTCAAGTAGAAAAAAACTAAACAAAAAATTCCATGTGTGTGGCCAGATTAACCAAAAAAGCCCCACCCTGACACCCAAAACAAAACCAAAAGAAAATCATCGTGGCTTGCTTTCTGCCTCCTTTCACATAGGCCAAGCCATATTTTGCCGCTATAAACTATTCTGTCATCTCTTCTCTCAGCTTCATGCAACTTAATATGCTATAGAAGATTTTCGTAAGCTCATTAAATATATATATTTTTTCCATTAAGCTCATACAAGACTCCTCACTTCATTACTGCCAAATCCCCACTGACGAAAATCTAGGGCTATACTTTCTTCTGTGCTGTGGCTGGCTTTGTGCTGCAGAGCGATGGAGGGCCCCTGACCTGGCACAACCAGCACATCCACCACTTCACGCTGACATCCCCTTGCACCACAGAGTCAATCTGCCAATTGCTGCGCTACATGTTCTCTTTCGGGGTGCGGAAGACGCATGGCCTGGCCCCCTTTGTACACCAAAAATCCCCCTCTGCCATACAAATTTTGCTAGGCGCAAAATCTGCCTAGCTCCACCTGTGCACCCAGGACCCGAGCCTCTGTGAAACAACATATTGCCTAAACACATTGAAGTCTCTTGCTGAAAATGCTTTAAAATTGCATCATAATTATAACCATTTTTAGCAGCCTAGTTCTGCTTTAACATCACAAACCTCCCCCCCCCCAACCTACAGCTAGAGGAGGCAGGCAGGCAGAGGAATATATGTGCTTTGTTTCCATGTATTTGATACATGCCTGTGGTAGAGGTTCTTCTTTCCAGAGATTCCTGGCGCTGTTGCTGCTGCTCCATCACTTGTCTAAAACAACAATGAAAAAAACCTCAATCACTATATATTTTTTTACATTTTTTAGTAACAGCTTTATATATTGAGAAGCCCTCAAGTCATAAGTTTTGGGTGGTGTGAGCCAGTCCCTTACAGAAGTACTCTTCCTGAAAGACAGACCTGGAGAATGAAATTGGAACAGGGTCTTGCACCTGCAGGATACAGAAAATGCTTGTTTTGGGGGGTAGTTAATCCATGTAAGATAATTCCTTAATGGACTTTGCATGTGGGATAGTTAATAAGAGAGTACTATAGTATCCCATGTCCCAAGAGAAATTAAACAGGTAGTTAACTACAAGGATTTCCAGTGAAAAGTAAGGGACGTCTTGCATAAGATGACACATTCCTGAGTCTTTTACAGACCTGCAACCTGAAGGACCTGTAGTTGGAAGTTTGATTTGTGCTTAGGTGCTGACTGTACAAAACCCATCTTGTACAGCTGCACAACAAAGCCCTTTGTTGATCCAGCAAAGTTCTGCAGGTGAGCAAAGTATTGGATAGCCTGGCTGAAAGCCTGCTCGTGTCATACCCCAAAACAGCTATATCTGTGCAAGGGCAACAGTGCCAGGAAGATGAGGACTCCTGGCTTTCCTCGGCAGACGCTGATCACAAAACTACACCGCTGCTTTTTTGCTTCCTTCCCATCATGGGTTCCTACTGCCACGGTTAATCGGGACTGGCTTCGTGTAAGAAACATGCTCTGCCAAGCACTGAACCACCACGGGAAAAGCATTTTCTCAGGCTTCGCTTTCCCAAGATGTGCAGTTCTCTGTATCTATCACCAGAGGTCTTCTCTCTCACACTGTAACACTGCAGCAGAAATAGCTTTCCCTGTTACCTCTCTGATAAACTCTCCCTGACACTTCTTTAATTAAGAAGATTGATAGCTAAAAACTAGAGTATTTGCCAGGGTTTTCGCCGCACACATGGATACGGACTACAGATTTCAATACTACTAAAATACAACTCTGAAATTACCTTACTGGAGCGCTTGGTAATAATGTCTATGATAATGTCCTTCCATGATTTCTAAGCTGAGTTTGCCTTGAGTTTGTTACACACACATTTGGGCCAGCCTCAATTGACTGCATAATCACTTCTTTTTTCTGCAAGAAGCTTATTTCATATTCTGAACATTAAGGACAGCTTAACTACAGGCAACACTTCTATTTGGACTCATTAGGTAATACAACATTTTAGAAAGGTCTCTCTGTTGCATTTTTGTTTACTTGTACTTTTAAATGAATCTGTAAGTTTAAATAATTTTATCTTGTTTATTTATAAATAAAAGGTTTTGCTAGGAAAAAATGTCTGGAAAAATAAATCTCGTGTTATGCAGGAAAAAAGAATGTCTTAATTTGCAACATAAATTTCCTACATTTCAATCCTAATTCTATAAAAGGGACAGGAAAATCAATGATTATAATTATTCACTATGGAGGGATCAATCCTAAACTGATTTTATGTTCAAGACATGCAATCTACAGAATACCAGCAATTTCTGGAAAACTATTACATATATCTGAGAGAATTACTATGTGTGCAAAGGGGAAACGGTTTTGAGCAACAGCCTTAGCTGGCTGAAACTGTGATACACCGATTACATTGGCTGCATTAGAACAATGACAATTTAAACCTAACAGAAATCTTTCCTTCAACACCTGTCTTGGCTTTTATTTGCCAGTTATGTGCTGATCATCCGGACAACAGCATCAGCCACACCACTAAAATTTCAGCTGGAAACACATGCACTAAGAATTTCCTGAGCATACTGTCCTCCACAAAAGCTTGGCCCTTATTAACAAAATCTGATGATGAAGAACAATCATCTGGTGTATATTTTGCTCTTTAAATTTGGGGAAAGTTCTAGTTTTACCTGGAGGGCACACTTGGAAAACTCGGCCCTGACAGACCTGGAAAGAAAGATCAGTAAGATGTCTTCTAGTCACCAGAGCCACTGCGGAGCAGATACACACATGGGGCTGCTCCTCAGAAGCAAGGGTCAACCACGGTCACTTGAAGTCTTTTGCGTTCATGCTCGTCCTGCCTGCCTCTGGGCAGATGTAGTTTCTACGTGCTAAGCACAGCCTCCCACACATGCTAAAAAGAGAAGTCGTTAGACTCTTAGGAAGTCAAATTTATTCCAGTGGAACTAAATAAAGACCAAGATTTGCACAAGGCTGCTTAAAGAGAATACAAGGAGTAAAGTATGAGAGAGAACAAATTACACCCTCTGACTTCAAACACATAATCTTTATACATTTGTTTAAAGGTCTTCAGAAAAGCCTTTTGAACAGACAGATTCGCAGGGCAGTTACCAGAACTTGGTTTCCTTGCCTGCTTACAAGATATTCAAAAAAGGCTAGGCCTAAAATTAGGTCTGCTATACGCTTAAAGAGTGCATTAGCATAATTAAGGCTGCAAATCCCCTAGTGCAGATGCGACAATATCTAAGTGCATCTACTGGCATAGCTTATTCCAGTTCAGTGGAGCAAAATAAGCTTTCCCAGAACCATATGTCCCATAGCAGTGGAATAATGTCTACCCATAGGGCTTTTACAATCCCTAAAAGAAAAAGAATAAATAAAATTGTTCTTCTTTTTTCTAACACAGTTAGACTGGTCACACTTTAAACGCAAGGAGCAGGTGCCTAAATTTGAGGTTTGAGTTTCAGATGGTCTGAACGTTCAGTACTTTCCACTGGCTAAACCAAGAGCTGGACCAGGACTTTCAATCAGACTGCAGGGACAGACTTATGCCTCTATGTGACACAAAGGTGCCTAGCAGGATCTCTTTTCTGACCTTTATGGTAGTTTAGCTACCCAGAAGTAAATCCTACACATCTTGAGTGAAATATTCTTACCCTCGGACCCATTTAATAGTTACATACAAATCCCCATTAAATCTCTGGCCGTTACAAGTTATTCATAAAAGCACAGGAAACTAATATCCCTACACTTTCCTTACACATTTTGGAGAGGGAAAGAGAGAATCTTACAGAGGGCAATTTATAACAGAAGCTTAAGTGCCTATAATAGCCTACATACGGGCCATGCCTTAACCGGCCTATATGCGGTTTTGTATAAGGACCAGTCAGAATGGCAGTTGTGGAGCATCAATCCAAATGATGTGTTGCATCACCTCCACTCCCCTGACAGTGTGTGAGATATTAAGCTATACCGCTCACAGGGTCAAGGCAGTGCCTGGACCCCTACAAGGAGAGACTTCGTTAAAGGTTGAGCCTACAAAGACAGAGAGCCCTCTGAGACCTGAGAGTCTGTCAAGACGCTAAGGCAGATCAACTTCCAACATTTTTGGTGCCGAACTGTACCTGCAGGCCAAGTTCCACTAAAACCCTTACAAAGCTATTTGCTATCTGAACCAAACATTAGGCCAAGCCCTCTGGAGAGCTGACTGTGCTCCTGCTGATCCCCCTCTATTCACAAAAGCATATGCAGCTGCCTCATTTAAACAATCCCATGGCAGTAAGCTGCAACAGACGCTGCTGATTCCTGTGCTGCAACACACTCCTGGGGAAGTGAGACTCTCTAATTCTCTGCTACATGTTTTATGGCAGGATACTCTGTGGCATCTCTTGTACAGCAGGAGAAACACACTTGCAGTGAGCAGGAAGATGGAGAATAAGAGTCCTTTTTTGTGCACTAGCCTATACTTGAACAAGGAAGCATGGGCATGGCTAGGCTCTGTGAGCCTTAACACAGCTAATGCAGTGTAGGCAGACTGGTCCAGGACATGATAAATAGGTCTTATGCTTGGCAAAGAAAGGCAAAGATACTGCTGCAACAGGAATTTCTACTACTGCTACAAGAATGTCTACAGCTGTTACAGGAACTTTGGCTGCATCAGCAAAGCTGAAATGAGAAGACGGGCATCATAGTTTGATTATGGAGAATGGCATACAACGAAGGCTTGTCACAGCTCCTGCCTACCTTCTCTTTGATGTCAAGGAGACCACTCATATCGGCTAGAGAAACGGCTGTGTATAATAGTGGCACTAAGCCTAGACATACATGTAAAGGTGAAGGATATGACAGGATGTTTACCTGAACTCCTAACTTAAATTTACAGTTTTCAGTTATCATCCTGGTTTAGAGCAAAACTTTCATAAAAGGAACAGCACACAATAAAGGAGGTAGCTATACACAAGACGGGCCAAAGTTACTACCAAGAGCACATACAGTCCATAGGACGCTTCCTGGGCAAAATGACTGTCAACTGCTAGCAAGTGATCCAGAACAGGATGTTAGACTTGCTTAATACGCTTGAGAAACATACTCCACAAATTACTTTTAAACAGGTTTTGTCTTTATCTCTGAACACCAGCATGGCTCATGCTTGCCTTTTAGCAAAGAGTTTACCTAGGGCTGCACCTCACTTCACTTTTGAAAAGTCATTACAGGATCATTAACTAATTATAGAAAACTCAGAATCACCACAAAACAGATAAGATTAAAAAGAACAGTGCTTATTTGCAAGCAAGGACTGTACATACACCCAGGTTACAAGCTAGAAATCTACCCTAATTTATTAACTCCACTTACCTTCTCTGTGCTTCCATCTCATCTGGTGAGGGACCATTCTGAACCTGGCGCTGGGCAGCTGGACCTGCAGAAAAAACAACAGAACTCTATTAGGAAAGCAAATATAACATCAGTATTGCTAAGTCTTCCCCCAAACACTGCCATTCTGATTAAATGCTTCTCCATCTTATTACAAGGAAAAAAAAAAGCATTATCGTTCTCTCTTTGCTTTATTTTTTTCAATTTATTATTTCCTATTAGCCAAACTATCACCTCAGGTAAATCTTTAGTCCCATTGGGAGAATCCAATGGCTAAATACGTGAGCAGATTTGTTCAGTAAACTCAAAGGCATTGTGGTAGCTGTAGACTATGTAGTCGTCCTTTGGGGAGGGTGCAGGCCCGGAGCATCCCAAAGGATGCTCTGTGGAAGGAAGGGCTGCCTCACTGGGATGCGCTCTAGCCTCGGCAGCATTTGGTCCGAACCAGCTGGATTACTGTGTGCTTGGACGGTAGTTCAACCCAAGGCCAAGGGGTAGGACATAACCATGAGCCAGTGGCGCTGCTCTGGAAAACCACAGAGGGGGTAAGCAAGGAAGTACATCTCCCACTGCCTCCCTGCCAGCACATGCCACCACGCACCCAGTGCATGTCCCTACAGCAGCAGGCATCCCCCAGCAAAGGCTGGGTCCTACTAAAGCTTTTTTTCCTCTAGTTTTATACATGGTATTACACAGTGGAAAATCTGCGAGCATCCCGGGGCTGCAGAGCACCGCAGGGCAGAAGAGAGCTGTAGGAGCATGGGAGCTGCACCGTGGACCAGGAGAGAGACGAGGAAAAGAGCACAGAACCAACCCAAGAGCATCCCAGCTTCACCTCACTTGTCTCTCATGCTCTTTTACCGCATGTGCTACGATGAGGAGGTCAGCCAAATGAAGGTACAAACACCACAGCGATGAGTATGCGAGAGAACGTGCTAGCTAGCACTGCTCGCTCTGATGCTGAGTTGACATAAAGAAGGTTCTTGAAGGAAGACGCAAGGAGATACAAGCTAAAACAGATCTTTTATAAACTTTGCTCTTCTTCTTACTATCCTGTAAGTCTTCTACTTCTGCGGGATCTACATCAAGCTGAGCTTTCACAGACACTCACCAATAAAAACCTATTCATGTCTCTATTTTTTAAGTCACATCTCCTTTCCTAACTCTGGTTATTTAATCTGAAACTGTTCTTCAACTTCTTTATCAAGTACACTAACAGCTACATTAATTATTGCGAAAATAAAAGTAATTATTGTGATTTCACATTTGGTGGAAAGACAACTGCTCCATTACTTTTGTGGTGGGAGGGAGATTTTAATTTGGATTAAACTGGTAAAAACTCTATTAAACGCATCAGGAATTTTGGTAAACAGCACTGTGAAACAGATCAGTTATATACAGAAAATAATTAGTATGTGCACCTTATTTTTCACATTTTCAAATGCAAAGTTCCATCCTTTTAAAAGTTATCCATCAAGAGCAAATAAAAACTGAACACTTACTTACAATTCAACCATATCACTCACAAATTGGTAAGGAAACTTTGCTCAGTTTTCCTTTTATGTTTCTGCCAGACAGAATTTCATCGGAAAATGAATTAGAAAATATGACTGTGCGAAAACACAAATGCTCGCAGAAATGCATTGCACTCAGCATTTCCAGAAGCACTGACTGATCCTTTCTGTTGTGCTTATTTTTGAATTGTCTTTAAGGACTAACATTTGCAGAAAGGGAACACTCAGCACTTTCTGAAAGCCAGACCCTTCCATGTGTTCCAACAGGGTATCCAAAAAACGGAGGCAATGACAATCACTGAGTCAAAAGCTCTGACATTTAGAAAATCTTAAGACTGGGTATGACATAAGGGCAATCCACTTCTTTAATGTCTCACCAATGACAACTGAACACTGTTTGTCACAGATCTTTGGCTAACTATCCAGGCAAAAATGCCAGATTTTGCAAAAAACAAGCTAAACAATGAATGTGGGAAAAAAGTGAGCGTTTCTCAGATGGAAGTCTCAGAAAAAAAACCTGACTGGCATTCAGAGCGCACAGGGAAGCTCACGTGCAAGCAGTTAAAGATGCACAAAGGATCCCATGTTATTGCACGAAGGTTTTGTGTACCTTCACCACCGAAGTGAAAGCAGGGTCAGAGCTACCCCTGAGCAGCAGTTGCAAAGTGAATTTAACTTTTTTCTGAACAGGATAGGAAGAGAGGTAAGGTCCCATCTCCAGGACATGGATTTGGACCAAACTTCCCACAGTTTGGCAAAGCCACCGGTTCGGACCCTGGGCTTTGGTGTGACCTATCTGCAAATAACGCACATATTTTCTTGTGTGTCTTGTAACACATACCTGTTACATATTTCAATAAAGAGTCTTCTGGATGAAAGAATTTCAGGAATTAAGAACTTCCCTCATAGGCTAACAAATATTGTCATGATAAACCTTAGCAATATTCATCACTGCATATGATCTGACCATGAGAAAACTTCCCTTGTATAAAGATTCAGAATATCATATAGAAGTCTGCACGCTGCTTGGAAAGATGAATAAAAGCGTGTGCCAATATAAGAAGGCCAGAGGATGAGGCAGCAGAAACAACAATTCTTCTTCGACAATAATTTATGTCAAAGTATAATGGAGGCTCTAATGGCTCCATCTTGATCTACTACTTTGGCACGAACCTTCTCTTGCGGCTAAGCACCCAGAAAAACACAGCAGTGTGGCCAATTTGACTAATGCTAGAAATGCAGAAGGAACCTAGAATCAGAGACGATCAACACCACAAAAAAAAAAAAAATAGACTCTGTTTTCCTGTACACACTATTATGGACTGGCTATAGGTTTAAAACCAAACAAATCAAACCAAATCAATTTGGAAAGCAGCCTGAAGAAATCCTGCTGGACAAGGTTACAGAATACATCTGGAAGTTGGAGTGGTTGCTTTTTATCATCTGGAGCCTTTTGAAGCTGATCTCACCAGCACAGCAGGCAGCTAAGTGATTAAGGATATTAATCTGCAAATAGTTCTATCTGAATTTTCAGTACAAAGAACTCGCAAAAAAGTAAATGAATTTACTTATATTTTCTGTTAAGCATGCATATGTTTGCAGGATTAGGACCACACTGAAACAAAATGCATTGCTTTCGGTTGCAATATTTGGTTGCAAAATGAATGCTGGCTTTAAAAATTTCCTGTGGTTCAGCAAATACCTGATATTTTCCTAGGGTGGGCCACAAGTCAGTTCAGGCAAGGCTACTTAAAATCATTCTTCTTCATTGCATTCAAGTAACTTGATTTCACTCTTACTTTCTTTCACCCTTACTCTGAGGAAAAAGGCCAGATGCACCGTGTTTTGTCAGCCAAGATTTTGCCTGAGGCTGGCCAACCTAAAAAAGTCCAACCCAACCTTTCAGAGAGCCTGGCATGTTTATTGCATGAAGCACAAATTCGTCTAGATTTTTTTCCCCCCCGAGTGTGGGTTTCTTTGCAAACCCAGGCCCACAGCCATCTGATAAAAAGTCTGCAAACAACTTTAAGCTCCGTAATTGTCAAGATTCGTGTTTCTCTTGTCGCTGAGCTTGCTTTTAGCATGCTCAGCCAAAGCTCATATGGATATTGAATGCGGAGCCTACTTTTAAGCTTGATTTCATATGTGTGTGTTCTGTAGCGCACATACAGAAGGCACCTGCTTGACCGAGGGTTTTCTAAATTAAATTGGAGCTTTCTAGGTTTAACTTCTCTCCGCATTTTTAGATTTTTCTCAGACATGAGCAGATATGAGCAGTAACTGCTCTTGGTAACGGCATCCTCATTTAAACCTGCTTTTCTAGTTGCACTGTGACTTGCCTCCTAACATGACAGCTTTTGGGAACAGATACACAGAGAACAGTGCTACTGAATACAATAACCAGGAGAGACAGCTTTACTACTGACTAATTAATACAGGAAATATACTGTGAAAGTCTCTGTTTCCTCACTTCATTGCTTTGTAATAATTAACTGCATTTTACTTAAGCACCTTGTGATTCAGCTCAAGGCATATTTTGGGAGCGCACAGAAGTTTTCCATGTTTACTTTTTCTCCTCCCTCTTACTCCACGAGGTTAGGAGGCGCCCCTGCCCTCTCAGCCCTTCCCTGTGCGGGCTGCTCCCCCCCTCGCTGGCCGTAGCCCCTCCTGAGGCCGAGAGGGCAGCGGCATCGCCGCCAGCGCGGGCATGGGTGAGCCGAGCACCACCTCCGTGTGCTTCCTGTCCCAGCGCCCGCTCTGTGCGGCGCCTTCACCACCGCACCCTGCTGCCGCACGGAGACGTCCTCGCTCGGGCTCGCGGCCAGCCCGTAAATGAGACCCCGGCTGTCACCGAGGGAAAGCTTGTGGCGCCTGCCTCCGCTTTGGCTTAGCTGTGTCAGGATGGCACGAACAAGAAGGAACAATGTCACCGTTTTTGCCTCCTGCTGGGGCAGTCCCGAGCGGCATGTTTCTTTTTCCTCTTTTACTTACATTACAAGTGCAAGCATTACTGACTGTGTGCACTCAAGGAAATGACAAGGCAAGGCCCTTTTCTCTGAGCAACCAGGATTTTGTGGCTCTTAAATACAGAAATGCTAATCTAAGCAATTTACATTTTTTTAAAATTAATTTCAAATACTGGAAACACAGCTGCTCCAAAGCAGGGTTTCTGCAACCCTTATAACCTCCGCAGCACCCACAGACCAGTGGCGAATGTGGTAGGTCAAGGAACTGTGGGAGACTCAGGTTCAGGTGCTGGGTCTGACTCACGGTCGTTTATGTCCTAAGAGCATCATAAACATTTGCTTATTTTGTCCTCAACGGAAGAAATCATTCCTGATCACCCGTTCCAGCAAAGCCTTTCTTTCCCATAGGAGCATCTTTGAAATAAACCAGCATTTTCTGACAGAAAAAAAAAAATTGTCAGAAATATTTCTGGCCAGTATGAATCTCAGCGTCCTCATGTGTGCACAGCCGGGACCACCATTCACCACGCCGGTGGCACGGGGAGCTTGGGTTCCCGGCTGCGCTG